CCCAGACCTACTGACCGGCCTCTGCCCACCACACAGCGGCCGTAGCCCCTCCTCATACAGCGCCACGCTTCCATCTCGCCCCCGGATGGCCGTCAGGGCCTCAGGCTCCCGGCTCCACCGCAACCTCTACGAGAGGTTTGGCGGCCGAAAGCCCCAGGGGCTCCCCATCGCCAGACACCGGCTCGCGGCCGGGCTGCAAAGCACGCTGGGAGGCTCAGTCTCGCCCGCGGCCAAGTCCCCATATTGCGCCGCGAAAGTCCCGGAATTGTGTTCCGGAAGCAGCTTCGCGGGGCGAGTGAAGCTCGGGCAGCCATTTCCGAAGAGGGCAAACACCCTCCCTCCGCCTTAAAGAAACAGGAAGAAATAAACTACCGACCAGCTTTTAAGGCCTGTGGGAGGGGGTACAGGGTGGTTACTGTAAGAAGAAAGAAATGTTATGGTCTCGCATTTTTATAATGTCCTTGGGAGATTCGGAAGGTGGACGCCCAAGGTAGGGAAATACCCTTTTCTGGGTTCCCATATAGAACTCGGGGACCACGGATTTGGGCCATTAATTCTGCAGGAACACATCCGCAGAGTTCGCTTTCGAATGTACCTGTGCGTCGTGCCTGTCCATCTTTATCAGTTTTGGCACATGACTCGATATGATTCTTGGGAAACACTATTTAAGTGCAGACCCCCCACTCCCCCTCCAAGAGAAAGAACTGCGCAAGAACCGAGCGGAGAGAGCGCAGCCGTTTTTACAGGCTCTTTGGAGAGCCGTAGAGTAATGTCTTGGAAAGACTTTTCCCCTCTTGGGTTAATAAGGAAATCAGAGGCATTTAAAGAACACCCTTTTCCTTCAGTATAAATATAGGTAATTCCCGTTATTTGTGCTAGTTATGTCCTACAAAGCTACTACCAACGCTGAATTAGCGAATACTGAACCATTGCTCCTAGGGGAAAACAGGGCTATTCCCCGTGAGCCACTCACTGGTCACAACATTTTAGTCACCTAATCCTATATAATCCTATATACTAAAAAGCTAATATGCAAATGGTCATCACGCCCTGATGCCATAACAGCTCAGACACTCAACACTGGGGGAAGAGGAATGGGGACCAGCCAGGCTGCTGCCCAGGAGAGGGACAAGCTGCCTGCCGCATGGTCCCAGGCGCCAGTGCACGTGGCCTGGGTGAAGCCACCTGCCCACAGTCCCCTGCGGCTTCGGAGGCCCGGGTGAAGCAGGCCCGGGTCCTGGATGCCTGTGGCTGGTCAGAGGGAGGGAAGTCCAGTCCCGGGTGCCTGTGACCGGCTGAAGGAGGGAATCCTGGGTCCTGGGTGCAAGGTGAGGCAGAGGTGGTTAGGGGCGATTGGGCAGGCAGGCAGAGGGGTTAGGGGCGATCAGGAAGGCAGACAGGCAAACAGTTAGGAGCTAGCAGTCCCAGATTTCGAGAGGCAGTCGGACATCCCCCGAGGGGTCCTGGATTGGAGAAGGTGCAGGCAGGGCTGAGGGACAACAACCCCCCCCCCCTCAATGCATGAATTTCGTGCACCGGGCCTCTGGTCAATACATAACCTTGTTTTATGTGTTTCGGCTTAAAGACACTTTATCTGATATGTGTTTTTCTATTAACATTGAGTTCATGGCCAATAGCACTGTAACTCATGCCTGAGTGAAGCTTATCTACACATGCATTTTCTCCATTCGGCACATCACAGAGTTCTTGCACTTAAGAGCATTGGCTAGCACTTCAGCACTACCCTTAGGGACCATTTTAAACAGAAAAATTACCAACAAGAAGCACAAACGTGTGAAAAGCGTGGCACTAAATAGACTGTGAAGAGGATACTTGTTTACAGTGTGAGAGCTGAAATGAGAAGGCAGAGCTTTGCTTCCTTTGACCTAAGGAGGGAATGTGCACTTTGGGCAACTAAATTTTTCACCACTCTGCACAGATCTATAAACGGAGATAATAATAATTATGAAAGTGAGGATTTAATAAAAGGTAGCTGTGAAGATTCTGGTATAAGACACAGAGAGGCAGAAATGTTTTATTTTTGCATCGACTTTGTATGCAAAACAAACGAATACATAAAATTGGTTAAATAAGCTATCAGATACTGAATAGATAATACACATACTTTAACAGAATTTTATGCAGATCCTTTGGGAAACTCAGAGGAAATTGAAAACAAGATAAAAGTGTTATAAAATCAAAAAGTAATATAGTGTAGATTCAATATATAAGGCATCTATTTAATACTTAGGTATTTTAGCCAAGAATGGGTATAATATGCCCTAAACCAGTGGACGGCAAACTGCGGCTCGCGAGCCACATGCGGTTCTTTGGCCCCTTGAGTGTGGCCACGAAGTTTCAAACGAAGTTTCAATCGCACTGTACGTGCGTGCCTGCACATGGTATTTTGTGGAAGAGCCACACTCAAGGGGCCGCAGTTTGCCGACCACTGCCCTAACCGGTTTGGCTCAGTGGCTAGAGCATCAGCCTTCAGACTGAAGGGTCCCAGGTTCCATTCCGGTCAAGGTCATGTACCTTGGTTGCAGGCACAACCCCCGTAGCGGGTGTGTAGGAGGCAGCTGATCAATGTTTCTCTCTCATTGATGTTTCTAACTCTCTATCCCTCTCCCTTCCTCTCTGTAAAAATAAATAAATAAATAAATAAATAAAATAAAATATATATTAAAAAAAAGGAATGGGTATAATAACCTATTTGGAATTATTGTTACAAATTTCTTTTGTTCTTCAAGAAACCTGTACCATTGTTGATGTAAACCTCCAAGTTAATGAAGTTACATAATCATATATACATGTGCCTAACATTCATATATGAATATAGAGTAAAAATTATTTTTTCCCTTTGGCTCTTAAAGAGTAGAATTTAGCAACATGTGGATTGCAAGGAAAAGCTAAAAAATAAAGATAAAAATTCAAGCCCTAACCGGTTTGACTCAGTGGATAGAGCGTCGGCCTGCAGACTAAAGGGTCCCAGGTTTGATTCCAGTCAAGGGCATGTACCTTGGTTATGGGCACATCCCCAGTAGGGGGTGTGCAGGAGGCAGCTGATCGATGTTTCTCTCTCATCTGATGTTTCTAACTCTCTATCCCTCTCCCTTCCTCTCTGTAAAAAATCAATAAAAATATATATTTTTAAAAAGATAAAAATTCAAGTTTGAAATGTCTCTCAACACCTACACATGTTCTTATACTTCACGCTCAACCTCCAAATTCTGGAAAATGTTTCTATATAACCTACTAACTCAATAAAAATATCCCAGGTTGTCATGGTGACATAGTTCTTTCCCCTGCAGAACATTGTAGTCTGGTGCAGTGGTTTCCTAATTCCTTATGGTTGTGAAATCTTTCTTTTTCTGTGTTTCACCTTTCCAGCCTAATACTACATCTGAGCCTGCTAGACTGGTGGCAAATTAAAGATTTAATTTGGAATAAGGTAAACTTAATTAATAGTAAATCAGTCTGGAAAGATGATGAAATCCTTTGTGGGTATATGTCCCGCAATGGTCCTTGATGAAAACATTACAGCACTCAGTCCTTGCTAGAATTTCTCCTTTATTTCTTAACCTGTATGGGCTGATTAAATTTTAAAAATCTTGTCCAGGTTTTTAGAACAATGATAGGAAATTGGTAGTCAGGATATGAACTTTGGGTTAGCCATTCTCTTCCCTTCACCACTAAACCCTTTTTTAGTACCATCTCTCAGTCCCAAAATGGGAGCTTTGCAGGTTTGTGAGTTCCTATAGTGCAGAGACATGTGGATGTCATGGATTTGAGCTCAGTTCTGACAAATGATCTTGCTGCCTACGTTGGTCTGCTTCAGGGCTCCTCAAGTTATCTTTGTGGGAAGGTATTCAAGAGCAAGGGCAGATCTTGGCAAGGATTCCTTCGACACAGAGGAGAATGAAGAGGCTAAGAAATGGAACAGCAGAGGAAAGCAAGAGAAAGCTGCATGTAAGCAACAGGAAAACACTCTTTGTGGTTTTCTAATACCCATTTGAGGAGAGAAACCATACCTTTTGTTTGTCTACATAATGAATAAATAAATGGCTATTTGGTCGTACCATTACCAAGTATTTTCACTTTGCCCATGCCCAAAGCATGTTCTTCATGAAGGCTAATATCAGAGTGTAAGGTATGTATCACTTTATTCTCTTTCATGAATCTTTAGTTCATAGGTAGTTATCTAAACCTGGAAAGTCTGGGATCCTAGAGGTAAAACAAAATATTTAAGGGAGTCTTTGAGCTCTTGCAATATTTTGAAAAATCTAATTGAAATTGAGGGAAAATCTGCAACAAGGAAGCAAAGGTTTCCCAAAACATTGAGTTTCCTTGCTCTTGACTGATAATACATGAGTTTAATATGGGCAAATATGTTATTTCATTTTGGTCAGACGCTCACATCAGTAGTTAATATGTCAATGACTTTGGTGAAGAAGATAAAACAAATCATTATAATTTAATATATTTAATTTTATTGGGAAGACAGAAACATCTTCAGAACCTTGGAGTTCAGACATTCCACAAATATCTCTTATCTTTTCTTCACTGCAACACATACATGTCAGCCCTAAGTTAGCCAACATATATATCACCACCCTGTCATAGGTGCTGTGCTTGAGAGGTAGATGAAATAGAGATGTGGGGGCAAAGAGGAAGGAACATCTAATCCTCCTTGGAAAAAAAAAAGAAAAGAAAAGAAAAGATGGGGGCTGTGAAAGAAGGCTTTGGAGAGAAATTAGTCCATGAGAGAGCTGATTCCTGAACGCTGGTGGGGTTTTCTAAAGAAACAGATGGCTTGAAGATCTGGAGGTGCAAATTACAAAAGGGTTTAGCTGAAACCTGGAGAAATGAGACTGACAGTTGACAGGGACCAGACTTGATGAATCCTAAAAACCATGGCAGAGAAATCATGGCAACAGGAGCCACTGAAGACTTTTACAGAGGAGTAACCTAATGACATATGCTTTAAAAATGGATAATTTTAATGATAATATGAAGCATGAATTGGACAGGGCTAGGAAGACCAGGCTCATTATTTTCTTAATTAAAAAACTTGTTAATTGGGTACAGCACACACACAGTAAAGTGCATACATATTAAATGTTTAGCTTGATAAATGTTTTCATATATATATGTGTATGTATACATATGTATATATTTTTGTGTAACCACTAACCAAATTAGGAACTTTTCCAACATCCCAGAAAAGTCTCTCTCCTGTGCTT